ACAACTAATTTATCAATGTAGACTTATATGGTTGCTTTTAAGCCTAAGGAACTATTGTTAGATTTCTTTTAAGAGCATTCAAATTTTGCATCTCTGTTTTGTCAGCAGAACTCTGTTTTATTCCAGCAACCAATTGAAATAGACAGACTTTCGCCTACACCAACCAACCTGCACACACTCACATGGATTGGCAATCATTGTTACTGAGTTTTTGCCTTTGTGGTTTCGACAATGTCTCGACCCACCGATGTTGGTTCAATTCTGATCGCTTTTTTTCTTCATAGTTGTTTTGCAAACATGGTGCTGACACGGCTCTGTGGATTCGTCTAGGCCGCAATGAAATTCCTGTGTCCAAGTGTGTCGCGTTTGATTTAAAGGTGCCTTGTAGTCATTGGCACCAAAGTGAAACCTCCAACGGTTCGTGGGTGTTTATTTAATCGACTTGTTGCGGCTTTTCTTGCGCTGAATGTCGAGAAAGTTGAGAGAGATTTGATTTCGTTTTGTGAGATATTTCAAATTTAATTTCATTCTCGGGTTTTGGAGGACAAAAAGAAAGGGAACTACCCTTTAGCAGCTCAGCTTGAGTGAATAAAAGAAAAAGGGTGCAGGGAACAAATAAAGAAGATAAAAGCGAGTAGATATGAAGTTCAAATTAGTTATGAACCCACAAAGGAGACGAGCTCAGTCATAAAGCCAGAACTGGCCAAAACAAACTTGAAGCGGGGATGAGCAATGTGAAAAGCATTTTCTCTCCCCACAAAAACTTGACTTCTGGCAGCTGCAAGGGCCATTAAAACTTTTACGTACCCGCTTGCCCATTAATACATAGATTATACGATTACAGGAATAGTTGCGCAAATGCCCAAACGATAATTGCCTGGGCTTTAGAGCACGAACCCAATCCACTAGGTTGGTCAATTTATGCGGATTAAATTCAACAATAAATGGTTAGGGATGAAATTCAAATTATTTAATCCTGTTACTAAAAAATTAAGGAAAAAGAACAGTACGAGGAAGGATGGTTTGCCAATTTGGTTTGATTTGATTCTAAATAAATTTTAAAAAGCGAACTAGGCTTGAAACCGACTTTCCGCACATGGCTAATTTTTAGAGTGCAGAGCACATCTTAAAATCTTCATTGATATCACATTGACCCACCCTAGTAAAACCTAATTAACCACTAATCTCGAGACGGCGGCATTTCAAAAGTTTCTATTCACAAACATTTAAGGGAACAGCAAACACGAAATCAGAATCAACGAACATGGAATTTGGAGGACCGCCGCAGCGGGAAATAAACACAGACATACGATGAGCTCATCGGCCGGCTAAACGACATTTTTGTACATGGTGAATAGGATGAACATGATGAGCAAGGTCATGGCGCGCTGGTAGAGCATGTGGTCCATGAAGGTGCGCCGGAAGGGGCGACGGGACAACTGGCGGAGCATCTGCGGTGGCAGCGGCTTGACGCGCGGCAATTGCTCCGTTGGATACTCGACGTAGCCGCGCAGGAACATGGCCGCCGCGGGCAGGATGGCCAGCTCCCGAACATACTCCTTGCTTGTGTGCTGCCGGCGGCGATGGTCGTCGATGGACATGCACGTCTTGCCGCCCGGGCTGATCGACCTGCGGATGGTGATGAGCGTGTTCTCCCCGATCCTCGCCTGGCAGTACGGGCACTTGGCCCGCGACCCCTGGGTGAGCATCCAATTGCGGATGCACATGCCGCAGAAGTGGTGGCCACAGAAGCCCACTCTTGGCGAACGGGCAGTGCGCATGCACACCAGGCACGAGTAGTAGTTGTGCTGATCCTCCGGGAACTCCTCCTTTTGATTGAACATGTCTGCCACTTGACGAACTTGTGCGATGACTGGGCACGTCTCTAGTCACAAATTGAAGTGGAATATATACTCTATTTGCTAGCACTCACTATTTCCAAAGCCTGCTTGAGCTTCTCGAAGAGGGAGCTCCAGATTTTGTCCCGGGCAAATGCTGCCTTGTAGCCCTGCAGGATGTCGATGAGTTCCATGAACACCTTGCGGCCGTGGTTGTCCTTGGGCGCACCATCCCTGTAGAGCAGCAGGGTGGGATTGGTCAGGATGACCAGCAGGCGGATGAGCAAGTCGGACAGCTCCTCGTGGTGCACATAATCCGGCAGCATGTAGACCAAGTCCGTTTGCAGCACCTTGGCCCGGCCCAAATGGCGGCGATACTCGTGGTTGTCCAGATCCCGACGCAGTATCCAAATCAAGTGCTGAAAATCCAGTAAATTGTTGTATTTAGGAATACAAAGAATAATTATACGAAATACCTTGAGACTTTCGGCGGCATCGGGTTCGGCCTGATATTTCTGGCCATCACTGTAGCCCAGGGCCGCACATGTGGCATCTAAGTCCGCCAGCAGAACCGACATCTCGAAACGCACTTATCACTATTTAAAAACAATTAATTTACGGAAATAAACAAAACTAAATTTCACAATGATTCTGCATGAAAATACGCGCGAAATAAAATCAGCTGTTTGCATTGATCGATTATTGGTTTGGCACCCCACTACAATTTAGCATTGACTCAAACCTTTTCAGTAAAAATACAGGTCGATAACTTAGATCAACACCTATCCTATTGGAAATTATCGATAAGATCGCTTAATATAGTACATTTTCAAATTCAAATTTAAATTTTACAAGGTAACGTTCTTAAACCATTTGAAGACAACTAAATCAATTATGAATTAATAAGAACAACGTTTTGGCAAATACATTTATTAGAAAATATTTAAGTAATAATAATGTATGCATAACAAGTAAGTGTGTAAGTAATAATGAGGGTTTAAAGATGATTCAATAGAAAATGAATAGAAAATGAAATAGAAACGATATTAAAACAAAAGTCTTTTATTCCAACTTTGTTAAATGTAGAATTATAAAAAGATTGAACAAATTACAGCCATTTCAAACCGTTACTTTGTCACAAATATTAAAAAAGAAAATCAATTTTAATTGAATCCCACATTTATGTTACATTTTCAGCAAAATTTAGTAACACAAAGTATATGCATGCATTTCGTCTTAAACGTATTTTTTTTTTTGCGCAAATAATCCACATGTGCATTTGCATAAAACCATTTCCCCATGCGTACACTCATTCGTTTCCATTTTAAATCGATTGAAATCGAAATTATTTGCTTGCATAAGATGCAGAGCAATTTATTTGGAGAGCGGGTGATAAGATCCTTCAAGAAAGCAGGAGAAAAGCGCCTTTGGTGTGTGCTTGTCTCCCAGTGCGGTAAATTTAAATATTTTCACCATTTTCATTAGTCATTGTAGCAGGAAATTGCCGGGCCAGAGCATGTGAGTCAGGCAAATAGCCTTGGTCAAGACTGGTCGGGATGCAGCAGCCTCTAATCACCCGGACACATTAAAAACCAAAGGCAAAAGAAAAGACGAAATTAAAAGCAAACATCGAGGCTACCGTCCGGGATATATTTACCTATGATATGAACAAATACGACCGGTAAACTTTTCCCAGGAAGGATGGAAAACTTGGGGGGGCAGTACCTGCTCGCCCTGCGGCGCTTCACTTGCTCTCTTGCCTCCGCTGTCATTTCCCTCGGCCGAAGAAGTTGAATTTAATTAACTAAGTAAATGCCCAGACATGGGCTCGCTTTGCTTATTTATCAAACTTCTCCGGACGACGATGATGGGCAACTACTGCACGGAGAGAAAGGAGTGCACTATTTGGTAGAATAGTTACATATTAAATGTTGATTAGTTTCGAAGCATTTTTGTGATTATAATTCCACTACAACGGGATAAAAGCCATAAATAAAAAAGTTTATAAAAACTATATTTTGTTGGGCTCTTTAAAAAATATATATATTTTTATCACAAGTAATTGAGGCTCCAATACTGCTCAATTTAAAAAGCAGTATGGTTTCTTTTGGCATTTTTAAAAACGATGTTCCGAATTTACTGTTTTTATTTTATTTGTGTTTAAAGAGTTTTTTAAGTTGACTAACAATTTCGGAATTTTAAACTAAAATCAAGTTAATATTATTATAATTATTTTAAAATTAATAAAATTTGAAAACATGATATGATTTGAATAATTAAACTTTCTATAAAAAAATGTTTTCTTTATTAATATAATAAATTTAGCTGAATACAGACATTTGATAAGATATTTTCCTATATCATTTTTTTATATTTCCTTCCAATTTTCGTAATTATATTCCTCTGTGTAGGACTTGAGCCAAGTACGACAACTTGCTGACCAAATAAGCAGAACACGTCAAAGCGCCCAAGTTGCCAGGAGTACTCGAGGGATCGCTCGACTCACTGACTGGATGACTGAATGACTGAGTGACAGACTGGGCGAAGGACACTATGCAAACCTGATTATAATGTGTCAAATCCATTATGTGCTGTCAGGCTTTTAGGCACAAAAAGCGCTGCCCTTGCCATGTATTTTTGGGGTCTGCGAACGAATGTCTCAACTTTTGAGGCAACTTTGGCCCCGTCAGGTTTTGCTGGCCAGACAAAGTTAATTATAATTCTGGGCCTCAGCTAAGCTGTCGAGTGCCGTAGGCCCAATTAAATGCATCGCCACAGTGCACACAATCGACTGTCGGCACTGTCAGACTTACTAAGTGATTTAATTATAAACCGAATAAACTGTACTATTTTTTTAAGAATGGTTACAAAATTCAAATCAATTGTCGAAGAATTACACTAGTCGCGTTTTTTATACAATTGTTTGATAATTTCTTTAAGAATGATATTTGCAAAGTAGAATAAAAAATACAAAACTCTTTTCTTAAATAAATTTTTTTGGACAGAAGAAAAATTTGTTTTGTTAATACTTTAATACTTTAGGATTCTTGTCCATTTCTTGTTTTTCTAAGCTGTTTTAAATAACTTTGACAATCCTAATGACGATTCACAAACTGTGCCAAGGCCGTTTAAAGCTTAAAGAAGTTCTTAAATTACCAAAAATTAGGGACAAATACAAAGTTCATTTATTTCTGTGATACCTATGTAAATATGCATAGGTTTTCTTATATTTAAGTGGTTTTTTAGATTAATTTGTCTTAAAAGAGATTTTTTCGGTATAATTGTTTGATTTTGTTATACGTTAGTACTGCTTATATCGTGAATATACATCGGACCCATTGTTGCGTTGATTCTTTATGAACTCGCCATTAAATTGGAAATCAAAGGGATAATAGGCCATATGTTTCCAGGTGTAGGGAACAGGTGGATGGGCTTGGTATATCCAGAAACAGCAATAGTTTTCAATCATTTTTCCCGTAAGGTTTTTTTCGTGGGTAGCCAATTTTCGGACTTGACGAGTCCTTCCTTCAATGCCCTTCAGTTGAACAGGACCCAAAACATCTTTGTATTCACGCAGTGTGGTTAATTCCACAGGAACTTCAAAATCATCCAAAGCCTCCAACGGATGTGTGATGTCCGGCAGAATCAGAAATGCCACTAAAACTGAATTAAAATATTTTTACTGGTGCTTAAGAGAAGCGATATATGTATATTCCTTCTGCTTACTAAATACCAAAATATATCTCTTCATATCGACTGAATTTTTATTGTGAAATGTTTACTGGTAATAAATAAGTCAGTGAATGGGAAAACGCTTTTACAATATGATAATATTGGCGTGAAAATACAATTATATTATTTGACACACTTAATGTTACAATGCAACTGATTAAACTAAAATGTTCGGTATTTATTTAAAAGTTAAGATATTGAAAGCTTTTAAGAATTAGTTTGTTTTTTAATTTATTTAAGCTTTTAAAATTCTATGCATTAAATATGGAGTTTTAAAAAAAAAGAAAACCTAAATAAAAATTTAAAAGCTGCATATACCATCTGTAAAATCAATCTATTTATTACCCAGTGAAAAAAATTAAATTTTCATAAACAAATTTGTTTTAAACTATTTGTAGATTACTCCTGGCGAATTGGTAAAATGCTAACGAAGCGGGGAAAAAGTAAAAGTGCAGAAAAACCACATGGCCCAATTTGTCGCCAAAAAAAAGGTCCACTACGAGCCTTAATTCCCGCGATCGACGTCGCCACATGGAGCTGCTCGTTAGTGGCTCCCAGTTTGCTCCGGGTGAATCATTGTGAGTGCTCAGCCGGGCTCGGCAAACAAAATCCGGCCGGAATGGAAGGCCCAGATGCCCGACTGCAGCCCAAAGGCAACTAAAAGTGCAGCGGAATAATAGCAGCTGACAGATGTCAGCTGCCATGTTGGCTTTGCAGCTTGTGGCCGCCATTTTGCCAGCATTTGGGCCACCTCGCAACTCGACGCTTCTGCTGGGTCCCACATCCTGTGCCCAGTGATGATGCTTCCTGGTACATCCTGCCACTCTTCACCTTTTCGAGGTACAACAAATTCCCATTTAGAATTTCCTTTACTGCGTTTGGTTATGGGTTCATTTTTAAATAAATTTCATAACAAATTTGTGATTGTTTAATACATATGGACAATTACACGAAAAAGTCAACCAAGCAACAAAAACTAAACGTTGAGAAAAAATGTTTTTTGAGGATTACAATATTTAAAAAAAATACAATTCGGCTTATCCGCTACATTTGCATCTATTCTTTATTGTTTTTCTATGAATTACAGCTTTGTTAAAAGTTAATAATACTACTTCTAAACAATGTTTTAAAATAAACTACAAATAATTTATTATATTATAATGTTTCTGCCTACATGCTAGAAAAAAATTATGGTAAATTCAAATATATGCACTTTGAACTAAATATTTTCAGTACTGAATTGGTCCCGAGAGTCGTTGTGCTTAAATCAAAATGTAATACACTTTCCTTATGTTCTTTAAGCATTAAAAAATTAAGTTTTAAATAAAATAAAATTGAAATCAACATTTTTTCAACTGGAGAAACCAATTAAATACGTTAAATACATTATCATGTATTTAGTTTATTTTAAGTAAGTTTATATTTTGAAAAATAATGTTGCTTTCAAATATTTTAATGTTATATATACATTATATATAATGGGTCTATATCTTATATTAAATACTAAAAGTAGAACAATGTTTCTTTAAATATAGTATTATTAAACGATTTTTTTTAAACCTTTATGAAAATCTTTTGGAATATTATCTATCACCACAATTTAAAAGTTTATTCTTTTTAAACTCAAAGGTTGGAGAGGTTTGTAAGGCATGGTAATATATTTTTCAAATTACATATAGTACCTCCCTTATAGGAATCTTTCCCATCACTGACTGTCCCTTTTTGCTGGCCGAATTCAATTGTTTGCAGAGCCTTCATCTTGCATTCTGATTGCGTGGCTTAATTGCATAGCAGCCGCGAACTGGGCCAGATTTGGTTTTGGTTTTGTGTTTGGCCGAAAGGTGAAAGCGAAAGCTGAGTGCACTTCTATGGAACCCCGGCCAGGACGAAATGAAATTACCGCCAGGCCACAAGGAAAACAGACTACCCGAGCTGCGTGTGGCTGGCTTCCTTTTCATCCTCTCGAAACAAAGCAAACGGGGCATCTAGAAAAAAAGGACTCGGAACAAAGCGTAGAAAACAATTTCCAAACAAATAAAACTCACACCTGAGACTACGGGTTGGCCCCCACAAGTGTTCTGGTCAGACGGTTTCGGTCTCACAGCGGTTGCCCCGGGCGAAAATGAATTGTTGTAAATCAATTTGTACCAGACCAGGACAGCAACAACATTGCGCAATTACATGGGCATTTTTCAATCTGAATGACGGAAAAATGAGAGTTCCCTAACCATTTGCCTTGATGGCCTACGATTTGTTTTTAAAGTAATTTTCCCAAAAATAAAAAGTTGTGTAACAATTGACAAGCATACTTTTCGGGGCGGTCGAAAAAAAATGTAACTATTGCCAATAATGGCTTTTGTTTATGTTTTGAAAATTTTCACATGAAGATCGTTCATTTTAATTTTAAATCAAGTCAGAAGGGAAACTTTTTTTGTTGATTGTTATTGCTTTGAACAAAAGTTGTGCAATATAAAGTTGTTTAAATTAAGCAAAATAGTACAGATCTTGAATTAAGGTTTTAAATAAAGGGGTAAATATACCTAATTAAAAAAAAACATATAGATTTTTAACTAAATAGAAAATTTTATTTTTTGTTTTATTAAATTTTTAATTTTTGGAATGAAAATAATTTACCTATACCGATTTGTCTAATTTTAAACTTGATGACCATCCATACTAAAAAAACCTATTGATTTGTCTTAAAATATATTAGTCCAAAACATGTTATAGCCCATATACCATGCCTTACAATTTCAGGGTATTTAGACGTAGTGCATATCCACCACAGAAGTGTCACAAGATGAAAGCGAAAGTGCTGCAAAGGCAACCCTAGTCTATATATATATAGTACACCAGTTAGAGCCTCACTTTTCACCCCTGGTCTGGCGCTGGCTATCGCCCCATAACCGCTGGAAACAAATCAAAGGGAAATTGTAAACGACAAGTTAATCTTGCTTGAAGTATAACCGGAAGCCATTTTATGACCCAATGGACAATGAGGGGAGATGGAGATGTGGATGGAGATCCTCTCGCACAACAGGAATATATGTAGCTGCATCCTGAGCACATTTGCACCGAGTCCCACTTAAATAAAACAATTTATTCTGCACATTTTGCTGGATTTGCTGCAAAATGAATTAAAGTTCAATAAAATGCGGAAAAAGGAAAGGAAAGCAAAAGGAAAAGTTTTCCTTCTGCCTTGACTGCGGCTTGTAAGCGTCTTTATCTTCGCTTGGCCTTTGTTTCTTGGGCATTTTTTTTCCCCTTCTGTGTGCCCCCGTTGTTGTGGCAGCGTTTTTCATGATGTTTGCACATTCGCTCCTTGTACCGCCCGATTTTGAGTTACAAAGCCAAAATCTCAGCAATCTGGGGCTGGCAACGAAAAAGCTGAAATACCTTTTGCATGCTTCATTGGCGTTGCCTTTCTGCTGAGTGAACATCAAATGGGATTTGTCTGCTGGCCTCCAACCGCCGGACATATGTATTTGTATCTGTATCTATGTCTGTGTCTGTATCTGTGTGCGGCTTCCTGTTGCGTAACAAATCAATGGTGTGTTAAGCGCACACCCACGAAACCCAATTGATAGATGGCTGTTTATGTGCCAACAGGCATCGTCGTTCTCATTCCCTAACATGGCCCATAAAAAAAGGCCAAGGTTTCGACTGTACATCGATACGACATGGGGTGCAAATGTGGCACTGCAGTTTGCGGACTCTGGATTGCACTTAGGCAAATTAATCCCATCAACGAGATGATTGTTAACCGCAACCGTAAACCCAACTCAAACGGCGGCCATTTGACTTGTGTCCCCGACAAACAATCCTTTGAGCCCGACTCACATGACATGCGATGCCGAAGACCTCCCACAGGTGTAAACAGTCATAAATTGGGTCGAGATCCGCCACTACACTAACAAGAAACTTGAAAAAGGAGATATAAAATTGAAATATTCCCTTGAAATAAAATTTGTTTTAAAACACGAGTCCTTCTTATATATGTTAGACACACTCCTAGTACACACGATTGTTCCTTTTATAAAAAATGTTGCATATGCCAATAGCTTATACCTTAATTTAATAATATATTTTTATAGCTGCACAAAATAAAGGAAAAATGATTAAGGTATAAGTATTAATTCAATACTAAAAAAATATAACCCTTATATGTTTTTTTTTGTATTTCTATTCTAGTCACATAAAATTGTCATAGAAAATAAACTATTATTACATGAATTTTAAGCTATTGGGTATGAAAACATTACACAATATTATGTTTATTAAACACATTGTTAAGAAGTATGAACAAATTTAAAATTCATGTAACAAGAACTCAGTTACTATGACAAAAGGTGTTTTCTTTTTATAAAATAAAAAAAGTACTGTATCATTAGTTAAAAACCACATATCAATAAATAACAATATAATATGTTTAAGAGGAAAGTTTAAGTATTAGTGCTTAACATTTAAGTTAAAAGGCTGGGAGCTTTTAAAAACTTTTAAGTTTTACAGAAGATTTTGTTAAGAATCATATTAAAGTTGTTCAGTCTGAATGCAAAAAAAAAATGCGTCATCTCCTTAGATCTGGAAGTTTCTAAATCTTTCGACTCCGAATTTGGGCAATAAAATACCTTATTTGGCCGTGTTCGCGTGGAAATGTATTCGTATATGTGCGGATTTTAATCGTATCCTGTCCCTGCCCCCACCACTTTCTCCCCCCTTCGAGGCCCACGCCTGTGTATCTTTGTGTACATTTCGTTTTTCCCTGCCATTTATTTGTTTTTTATGTTTTTTGAGCGTCTGCCAGGCGCATAACTCAAAGTGCTTGGGCTTGAGCCCTCGATGCCGTGCAGATAATGATGCTAAAAGTGTCGCAGTCGACGGTGGTGGGAGAAAAGAGGCGGTGCGGGGCCATCTCCGATTCAGGTAAACCAATGCCTCACACGTGAAGCAGCGGGCAGGAATAACATATCGAAAAATGAATTTCATTGGGTGGGAAGGTGGATGATGGAAAAAGCTGAGGGCTGGGGAAAGTGAGAGTCAGCGAAATCTGTTTCAATAGCTTTTGTCGGGGGTTTTGGGGCTCTGGAAT